TATTTGCGGCGGCGGCGGTCTCGCTCATAGACTACTCCTCGTCAATCTTAGCGAGCTCTCATCAAGGTGGCGCATTCTATGTGTTGCGGTCTCCATGGTGGTCATGACCTGTCGCGGGCCTAGACATTCGCGAGGTCGGGGTCCGTGTGGACCCAGCCCGACGCCTCGCCGGACCTGGCGAACAGAGAGCAACTTGCCTCTCAAAATTGCATTTACCTCTGATTTAAGCTTCAAGCTCTGGCACCTCTGTAAATCCCTGCTCCCCTCTACGAATGGCATATCCATTTACTTTTTTGTTATTTTACTTTTATTGTTGAGTCATCACCTTCTCAATTAAGCACTATTGTCATTCTTATGCATTGTGTATGGTTAATATTGTGTGTATCATGACTGGATCTCTTCTACCATGAATTACAATGTGTAGTCGTTGCTTGAACTTTGGAGGTGCTCTGCATTTATATTTTGCGGTCTCAGAAAGGGCTAGCGAGATACCATGTTGTCATGATATCATGATTGTTTTGACAAAGTGTTAGCTTTTGAGATATGTTATTATTGCTCGCTAGTTGATAACACCATTTATATGAGTGAATATAATTTTTAAAAGTTATCATTTGCATGGTTAGTTATGATCTTTGCTGAAAACTTCGGTACTATTTAAGCTTATATACGGATACAAGACTAAAAGAGTTCGTAAAAGTTTTTTTATCACTTTCAGTTTGTCAACTGAATTGCTTGAGCACAAGCAATGAATTAAGCTTGGGGGAGTTGATACGTCTCTGTCGTATCTATTTTTCCAAACACTTCTGCTCTTCTTTAGGACTCTAATTTGCATGATTTGAATGAAACTAACCAGGACTGACACTGTTTTCAGCAGAACCACCATGGTGTTGTTTTTGTGCAAAAATAAAAGTTCTCGGAATTGGATAAAACTTTTTGGAGTTTTTTATGAACTATATAAAAAAATACTGGAGCAAAGATCCACAGGAGGGGACCCACGAGTGGCCCACAAGGCACTTGGGCGTGGCCACTCCCCCTAGGCGCGCCCAAGTACCTTGTGGGGCCCACGTGGCTCCACTGACCCTAATCTCAACCCTATAAATTTCTATTTCCTAAGAAAAAAATAAAAGAAGAACATGTTTTACGATATGGAGCTGTTGTCACCTCCTGTTCTTCATCGGGAGGACAGATCTGGAGTCCGTTCAGAGCTCCGAAGAGGGGGATTCGTCGCGGTCATCATCACCAATTTCATGATGCTCACCACCGGGAGTGAGTGATTTCTTCGTAGACTTCTTGGACGGTGATGGGATTAGATGAGATTTATCATGTAATCGAGTCAATTTGTTAGGGCTTGATCCTAAGTATCCACTATGTTCTGAGATTGATGTCGCTATGATTTTGCTATGCTTAATAGTTGTCACTAGGGCCCGAGTGCCATGATTTAATATCCGAACCCTTTATGTTTTCATGAATATATTTGAGTTCTTGATCCTATCTTGCAAGTTATACACACCAATTACATGTTATGATCCGCATACCTCAAGGTGACAACAATTGGGATTCTTTCCGGTGATTATTGTAGTTTGAGGAGTTCATGTATTCACCATGTGTTAATGATTTATTTCAATTCTCTATTAAAAGGAGGCCTTAATATCCCTTAGTTTCCTTATGGACCCCACTACCACGGGAGGGTAGGACAAAAGATGTCATGCAAATTCTTGTTATAAGCATGTATGACTATATACAGAATACATGTCTACATTACATTGATGAATTATAGCTAGTTTAGTGTCGCTCTAGGTTGTAACTGTTACATGATGAATGCCAACCAACACAATTATCCATCACCCATCCAATGCCTATGCTTTTCGCATACTAATCTTTGCTAAGTTACTACTACTGTTGTTGCAATCTCTACAAAACTGCTATTGTTACTGTTACCGTTACTATTGTTACTGTTACCAGTTTACAACTACTATAAAACTATCATATTACTGTGCTACTGATCACTCTGTTGCAGATATTTAGTTCTCCAGGTGTGGTTGAATTGACAACTCAACTGCTAATAATCGCGAATATTCTTTGACTCCCCTCATGTCGAATTAATAAATTTGGGTTGAATACTGATACGTCTCCGTCGTATCTACTTTTCCAAACACTTTTGTCCTTGTTTTGGACTCTAACTTGCATGCTTTGAATGGAACTAACCGGACTGATGATGTTTTCAGCAGAATTGCCATGGTGTTATTTATGTGCAGAAACAAAAGTTCTCGGAATGACCTGAAACTCCACAGAGCGTCATTTTGGAAATAATAAAAAATACTGGCAAAAGACCAAGACCAGGGGCCCACACCCTAGCCATGAGGGTGGGGGCGCGCCTGCTTCCCCTGGGCGCGCCCCCTACCTCGTGGGCCCCCTGGAGCTCCTCCGACCTCAACTCCAACTCTATATATTCACTTTCGGGGAGAGAAAAAATAAAGGAGAAGGATTCATCGCATTTTACGATACGGAGCCGCCGCCAAGCCCTAAAACCTCTCAGGAGGGCTGATGTGGAGTCCGTTTGGGGCTCCGGAGAGGGGAATCCGTCGCCGTCGTCATCATCAACCATCCTCCATCACCAATTTCATGATGCTCACTGCCGTGCGTGAGTAATTCCATCATAGGCTTGCTGGACGGTGATGGGTTGGATGAGATTTATCATGTAATCGAGTTAGTTTTGTTAGGGTTTGATCCCTAGTATCCACTATGTTCTGAGATTGATGTTGCTATGACTTTTCTATGCTTAATGCTTGTCACTAGGGCCCGAGTGCCATGATTTCAGATCTGAACCTATTATGTTTTCATCAATATGTGAGAGTTCTTGATCCCATCTTGCAAGTCTATAGTCACCTACTATGTGTTATGATTCGGCAACCCCGAAGTGACAATAATCGGGACCACTCCCGGTGATGACTGTAGTTTGAGGAGTTCATGTATTCACTATGTGTTAATGCTTTGGTCCGGTACTCTATTAAAAGGAGGCCTTAATATCCCTTAGTTTCCGCTAGGACCCCGCTGCCACGGGAGGGTAGGACAAAACATGTCATGCAAGTTCTTTTCCATAAGCACGCATGACTATATTCGGAATACATGCCTACATTACATTGATGAATTGGAGCTAGTTCTGTGTCACCCTAGGTTATGACTGTTACATGATGAACCACATCCGGCATAATTCTCTATCACCGATCCATTGCCTACGAGCTTTCCATATATTGTTCTTCGCTTATTTACTTTTCCGTTGCTATTGTTACAATCACTACAAAATACCAAAAACATTACTTTGGTATCATTACCTTTTGCTACCGTTACCATTACTATCATATTACTTTGCTACTAAACACTTTGCTCCAGATATTAAGTTTCCAGGTGTTGTTGAATTGACAACTCAGCTGCTAATACTTGAGAATATTCTTTGCCTCCCCTTGTGTCGAATCAATAAATTTGGGTTGAATACTCTACCCTCGAAAACTGTTGCGATCCCCTATACTTGTGGGTTATCAAATACTCTATCCTCGAAAATTGTTGTGATCCCTATACTTGTGGGTTATCAGTCGCAAGTGCCCCTCTTCCCCGCCCTCGGTCCAAGCTATCGGTGGAGTGACTACCGTAAATCCATGTGACCCATGAGGAAGGTGGCGGGAGGCTTTTCGAGGCATCTGTCGGTGCACCCACGACTGGTGGTTGGATTCATGGTGGTCTAGATATGTGTGGAATTATATTTCGACATGATTCGTTCCCTTCTTGGGATGA